TCCTTAATGGACGGCCCCTACGTGTCCCTCCCTCCGGCAACTTCCTTTTGAGGGGAAAGATTTTTTTCTTGTCCGCCGTTCGGTCCAACAATTCCTCTAACCCTGGGCCGAACAGACAATCTCCTGTGAGAGGGATACCGCACAGTCTGACCTTGGAAGTGATGTCCCCTTGCCACGTTTTTAACCATAGCGCCCTCCTAGCCGAATTGGTGAGAGAGCGCTGACCTAGCCCCCAACCTCACCAACTCAGCAGACGAATCCGCAATATATCCTACCCCCTGTAGAAGGGTCTCAAAAGAGGCCAGGATCTTTTCCTTGGGGGAGTCCGCCACTATATGGGCCTGCAACTGAGTAAGCCAGTACTCCAAGTTTCTGGATACCACCGTCGAGGCTATGGCCGGTTTCAAATTGTACAGGGTTGAGTCCCAGGCTTTTCTAAGGAGGGATTCCGCTCTCCTATCCAGCAAATCTGGTAGAACCCCCATGTCCTCAAACGCCAGGTCTGTCCTCCTAGTCGTTTGGGAGAAGGCCGCGTCTAGTTTGGGGTTCGTGTTCCACACTGCAGCGGGGTCCTCACTAAACGGAAACCGTCTTTTTAACGATTTAGAGAAGAACGGCTTCCTCTCTGGGTCCTGCCATTCCTTCTTAATAGTCTCGACTAAGACGTCATGCACAGGGAAGATTCTGTAACTATTCCCCCTCCAACCCCAGATACATCTGGTCATGGAGAGATAGGGTCTTAACCACCTCCTTTATGTCCAGGGTCTCATAAATTGCCCCCAGGAGCTCATCCACCTCCTCTAGGGTCAATTTATACCGGGAGGGACCCCTGCTTTCCTCCGAGGGACCCTCCCCTGCGGATTCCTCCTCTGACCGGGAGTCCCCCAATGGTTCCTTCTCGTCCCTAGCCACGAGAGGTTCCTTGCTGCGGCTCAAGGCCGCCGGGGGGGGGGGAATGTGTAGACTGGGGAAGCGCAAACCGCTCCATGAGTGATTTAAAAGGAGTCAACCGTGCTAGTCAACTCCTTTACAGACCTAGCCAAGTCCCCCTGTTCAGGCCTGTCTTCCCTCACTAACCCCTCTATGCATGGGCCACACAGCACCTTCCTCCAGGATTCTCTCAACACCTCCTTGCAGGATGGGCATCTCCGTTTGGGCTCCTGGTGTTTAGTCTTAGCCCGAGCCTTGCCCTGAAAAACATAAAGAAGGGGCAGGAGGGAAGTCACTATACCACCCATCACTCTTCCCCGGCAGAGCCTAAGGACCTGCACCCACCGCCCTACCCTTCCGGGAATGCCCCTGGAGCTAGGGGACAACAGATAGGGGAGGCCTCCACTGAGGCACCTTACCTGTATCTGGCTGGTGCTGGCGTCTCCTGGTCCCGGTGCCTCCGACATCGTGCTCCAGGAGGGTGGTCGCTTGGTGCAGGCCTGTCCCCCAGGCTACTATGCACCGCACCGCCTTTTAAATTTCGCACCGCTGTGGTTGAGGGCCGCGACCGGAAGTCGCGGCCCGGGGTGAAGCCCCACCCCTTCCGCCGGAACTCACCGTCTCCCGGCGTCCGGCCCAGCAACAAGCACGCCAGCATGGGAAGGAGCGAGACATCACCCCGATCCTCTCCAGATCGTACCACAGCCACCCCAACTCGCCGGAGGGGGGGGGGGCGAAGTGCAGGTACGTGCTGAGCCCCGTCACCCGGGGTGCGCGCCCACTGCTACACAGCCCGCCCAGGGAGGATGTGCAGCCGGACCCTCCGGCCTTCACTCCCGGCTGCATCAGGCCTGACAGCCGGCTATCCGGCCCTAGGCCCCCCTGCGTCTAGTGACAGCACCTCGTGCTTCCTCGTGTCAGCAGGGGAGTGGAGGTCTTTTTATTTTAGGGTGGAGGTGTTTCCTCAGATGGGGAGGAGCCGAGGTCTCTCAAGGTGCTGGCCTGAAAGACGTAAGGGGAAAAAAACTATATTTTTTCGTGCTTCCTCGTGTCTCCCCACCGGAGGAAAACACCTGAACTGAGGTCGGAGGGGAGTGGAGGTCTTTTATTTTAGGGTGGGAGGTGTCAGTTCCTCAGATGGGGAGGAGCCGAGGTCTCTCAAGGTGCTGGCCTGAAAGACGTAAGGGGAAAAAAACTATATTTTTTACTTTCAGCTATAAAAATATATAGTAAACTCAAAGTTAGTCATAAATTTGTCAGGCCAAAATGTATTCTGCTGTCATGTTGTTTTTGGTTAGGCACAATCCCAAAACAAATCCCAATAAGTGTATATTGATTGCTTTGTGTGAAAGTTATAGCGTCTACAAACTATGGAATAGATACTAAGCAATTTACGCCATTTTTTGCTATACAGCGCTGCACTAGTTTAACTGACGATTTCGCGGTCATGCAGTGCTATAGACAATTGAAATGTATGTCTTTTTCACTCAAATAGAGCTTTCTTTCGGTGGCATTTGATCACCTGTGCGCTTTTTATTTTTTTATTCTGCGAACACTGCGGTTTTGTATGCAGTGTATCAAGTGACCTGACACTGCGAACACTGCGGTTTTGTATGCAGTGTAATCAAGTGACGCTGACTTTCATATTTTACCATGCATTGCTGGGAGGTGCCTTTTGTGCCAGCAAGGTATCTACAGTATTGGCTCGATTTTAAATATATTCATATATAAGCAGGTGCCGTAGGTGCGCTGATCCCGCTAACGCTGCGTTTTTGGGGACACTATACTAATGTGAACGCTGGAATAGTGCTGGTCTGATCAAAGATATTGATCCGATCAGACAGTATACTAGCAATGGAGATTTATTGTATATGTGAGCGTGCTCCTGGCAATCACAAGGTTAGATGTGATCACTGGTGTACTAGCGGGTAACTGATGCTATCTGGGAGGGGTGCTAGCGCTATCTGAAGTCGCCTGTGACACTAATACAGCGATCAGCAAAAAATCTGTACACTTTACTAATGACACTAGTGAAAGGGCAGTGAAGGGGTTAACTGGGGTGGCGATCGAGGGGTTAAATGTGATGACTGGCGTACTGACGGGCAAACTGACGCCATCTGGGAGAGATGCTAACTGACGCTAGCGCTATCTTAAGTCTCCGGCGACACTAATACAGCGATCAGCAAAAAATCTGTACACTGTACTAATGACACTGGTGACAGGGCAGTGAAGGGGTTAACTGGGGTGGCGATCAAGGGGTTAAATGTGATGACTGGTGTACTGACGGGCAAAATGTTGCCATCTGGGAGAGATGCTAACTGATGCTAGCGCTATCTGAAGTTCTCGGCGACACTAAAACAGCGATCAGCAAAAAATCTGTACACTGTACTAATGACACTGGTGACAGGGCGGTGAAGGGGTTAACTGGGGTGGCGATCAAGGGGTTAAATGTGATGACTGGTGTACTGATGGGCAATCTGACGATATCTGGGAGGGATGCTAACTGATGCTAGCGCTATCTGAAGTCTCCGGCGACACTAATACAGTGATCAGCAAAAAATCTGTACACTGTACTAATGACACTGGTGACAGGGCAGTGAAGGGGTTAACTGGGGTGGTGATCAGGGGGTTAAATGTGTCTTAGAGTGTTCTACCCAGAGGCGGACTGACCGTTCGAGCACTGCCTGAGGGCCCGGGGTCAGTAGGGGGCCCCATGAAATGCCCGTTACTTTTATAGGCTTTTTTGGTGTGCATTGAGTGTGGGCAAGGACACAGGGGCCCTATGATCCCCTATTGCCCGGGGGCCCCATGAGTTGTCAGTCCACCCCTGGTTCTAACTGTAAATGTGTACTCACTTTTGTAATGATTTTTCTCTCTCTGGCACAGAATGTGCCCAGAGAGAAGATTTCATCACTTTCTGTCCTGTGTAACTTTCAACACAGGACAGGGATCGATCATCCAACTTGGGCCGGACATCACTGGCCTAAATTGGATGACTGATCCCTCAGGGATCAAATCGGGAAGCCCCCCCGGTGAATACCACGGGAGTGCGAATCATGTATATATACACGTGATTTTGCGCACAGGGGCCCCTGAAGCAGTAAATGTACTGTGGGCGGTCCTTATGCGGTTAATACATGCCACAGAATGGGTGTACCGCCTTGCATTTATTCTTTGCCCCCTCGCCTCTCTGCGCCCAGGGCGGCTGCCCCTCCTGCCTACCCCTTTGTCCCGGGCCCTAGGTGAAGCAAGCAGTAGGCAGGGCCACAATTCGTGTAGGACGCATAATCCAATGAAGGGCACTTAGTCGATTAAAATACCTGAAGATCAGCTATCATTCAGGAGAACCCCTTAATAGGCCCATGACACAACAACAACTCTTTGTCCCTCAGAATTAATGAGTTTGGTACATCTTCATCCTGGAGAAAGGAGGATTAAAAAAAAAATAAAAATGAACATCTCTGATACGCAAATGTATATTTATTAACATTGTCCTGAGGAAGTTTAATGGAGGGCAGAGTCAACCCATCTATGGTGCCATGGAGTTATCAGGAAAAACGTTTTCCACACTCAAGACAGAAATATGGCTTCTCGCCTATGTAAGATCTTTGATGTAGAACAAGGTCTGATCTCCATATATCGCATTTTCACACTCAGGACAGAAATACGGCTTCTCCCCCATGTGAGACCTTTGATGTCTATCAAGGACTGATTTCTGTGAAAAACATTTCCCGCACTCAGGAAAGGATTGTGGCTTCTCCCCCGTGTGAGACCTTTGATGCCTATCAAGGTTTGATTTCTGTGAAAAACATTTCCCACACTCAGGAAAGGATTGTGGCTTCTCCCCGTGTGAGACCTTTGATGCCTATCAAGGTTTGATTTCTGTGAAAAACATTTCCCTCACTCAGGAAAGGATTGTGGCTTCTCCCCCGTGTGTGAGACCTTTGATGTCTATCAAGGTTTGATTTCTGTGAAAAACATTTCCCGCACTCAGGAAAGGATTGTGGCTTCTCCCCCGTGTGAGATCTTTGATGTCTATCAAGATTTGATTTCTGTGAAAAACATTTACCTCACTCACGGATGGATTGCGGCTTCTCCCCCCTGTGAGTCCGTTGATGTCTATAAAGGGCTGATTTCTGTGAAAAACATTTCCCGCACGCAGGACAGGAATACGGCTTTTCTCCCGTGTGAATCAAATGATGCCTGTCAAGATTCCACTTCCGTAGAAAGTCTTTCCCACACTCGAGGCAGGAAAATGACTTCTCACCTGTATGAGATCTTTGATGTTTAACAAGGAATAATTTCTGTGAAAAACATTTCCCGCACTCAGGACAGGAGTGTCCCGTTTTCCCCTTGTGAGAACACTGATGTGTGTAAAGATGGGATGACTGTGAAAAACATTTCCCACACTCACTACAGGAATACGGCTTCTCTCCTGTGTGAATCCTCTGATGTCTGTAAAGACTGAACTTCTCCAAAAAACTTTTGCTACACTCAGGGCAGGAATATGGTTTCTCCCCTGTGTGGGATCTTTTATGTATAACAAAGTGTGATTTACGTATAAAACATTTCCCGCACTCAGGACATGTATACTGCTTCTCCCCTGTATGAGTCCGCAGATGTCTATACAAATTGGACTTCTCTGAAAACCGTTTACTGCATTCAGGGCAGGAGTACGGCTTCTCCCCCCCGTGTGAGATCTTTGATGTATAACATAATGTGATTTCCGCATATAACCTTTCCCGCACTCAGGGCAGGAATACGGCTTTTCCCCTCTGTGAGCGCTTTGATGTCGAACAAGGTCTGACTTCTGTGAAAAACATTGCCCGCACTCAGGGCAGGAATATGGTTTCTCCCCATTGTGAGATCTTTGATGTCTAACAATGCCTGATTTGTAGAGAAAACATTTCCCGCACTCAGGGCAGGAAAATCGCTTCCTCCGTGTGTAAGATCTTTGATGTGTGACATGATTAGATTTCCTACTGTCAGAGCAGTCATACAGCTTCTCTCCCGTGTGAGATCTCTGATGTGTGACAAGTTTTGATTTCCGTGGATAAGATTTCCTACGGTCAGAGCAGTCATCCAGCTTCTCCCCTGTGTGAGATCTTTGATGTGTGACAAGTTTCGATTTCCGTGGATAAGATTTCCTACGCTCAGAGCAGTCATCCAGCTTCTCCCCTGTGTGGGATCTTTGATGTATAACAAGCTCTGATTTCTGGGAAAAACCTTTTCCGCACTCAGGGCAGGAATACGGCTTCGCAGCAGTGTGAGATCTCCGATGTATAATGAGGACCGATTTCTGTGAAAAACATTTCCCGCACACAGAGCAGGTATATGGCTTTTCCCCTCTGTGAGATCTTTGATGTCTGACAAGGTCTGATTTCTGTGAAAAACATTTCCCACACTCAGGACAAAAATACGGCCTCTCCCCTGTATGAACCCTCTGATGTCTGTAAAGTCTGAACTTAGCTGAAAAACATTTCCCGCACTTGGGGCAGGAATAAGGCATCTCCCCTGTGTGAGATCTTTGATGTAGAACAAGTCCTGATTTTCTTGTAAAACATTTCCCACACTCAGGACAGGAATACAACTTTTTCCCTGTGTGAGATCTCTGATGTGTGTGAAGATGGGATACCTGTGAAAAAGATTTCCCACACTCAGAACAGAAATATGGCCTCTCCCCCGTGTGAATCTTCTGATGTCTGCAAAGTCTGGCCTTATCTGAAAAACATTTCCTGCACTCAGAGCAGGAATAAGGCTTCTCCCCTGTGTGAGATCTTTGATGTAGAACAAGTCCTGATTTCCATTTGAAACATTTCCCACACTCAAGACAGGAATAGAGCTTTTTCTCCTTGTGAGACCTCTGATGAATATAAAGCTGAGACAATTGTGTAAAACATTTCTTGCACTTGGGACAGGAATACAGCTTCTTGCCCGTGTGAGATCTGTAATGTATGAAAAGTTCAGATTTTTTAAGAAAACATTTCCCGCACTTAGAACAGGAATGAGACTTCCCACCTGTGTGAGATCTCTGATGTACAGTAAGACTTAATTCAGAGGTAAAACTTTCCCCACATTCAGGACAGGAACATTTCTCCTCCCCCTGAATTCCGGCACCATCCCCCATAGTACCAGGTTGCTCAGAGTCAAAGGGATTTGATGGTCCATCCACACTTTGAAGTCCACTATCCATAGCTGAGATCATTGTCTTTTCTTCTGCACAATCTCCTGTGAAGTCCTCATCTTCCGTTTCACAGGTTAGAGGTAAAGTGAGACGATCCTTTGAGGGTTCCTCGATGACGTGTCCTGAAAAATATAAAAACATGATCAATAGATACAAGATGGTTAGTTCATTTAAATCAAGATTTCATCTGGATCAGGTAGGTTTTAGCGAGATCTCTGTAGATGTTCCAACCAGCTATGACTTCCCCTCTTCAGTAAAAAGTCCTTTGGTCCTCCCCCCAGATCACTTCTACATTTCCCCAGCCTTGTCAGAAGAGCAGGAACCAATGGGGACTGGAAGGGGCATGCTCTTCACACAACCACAAGCCTAGGCACTGGGTCATGTGATCTCTGATAATGAAGAGGTTCAAACAGACTTGGAGAACCTTTAGTATTGAACATGAGACCATAGGCCTAGGCATCAAATCAAGATTCAATCTGGATCAGGCAGGTTTTAGTGAGCAGATGTTCTCTGTAGATGTCCCAACCAGCTGTGACTTCCCCTCTTCAGTAAAAGGTCCTTTGGTCCTCCCCCCAGATCACTTCTACATTTCCCCAGCCTTGTCAGAAGAGCAGGAACCAATGGGGACTGGGGGGCATGCTCTTCACACAACCACAAGCCTAGGCACTGGGTCATGTGATCTCTGATAATGAAGAGGTTCAAAGTTCAGACTTGGAGAACCTTTAGTATTGAACATGAGACCATAGGCCTAGGCATCAAATCAAGATTCAATCTGAATCAGGCAGGTTTTAGTGAGCAGATGTTCTCTGTAGATGTCCCAACCAGCTGTGACTTCCCCTCTTCAGTAAAAGGTCCTTTGGTCCTCCCCCCAGATCACTTCTACATTTCCCCAGCCTTGTCAGAGGAGCAGGAACCAATGGGGACTGGGAGGGGCATGCTCTTCACACAACCACAAGCCTAGGCACTGGGTCATGTGATCTCTGATAATGAAGAGGTTCAAAGTTCAGACTTGGAGAACCTTTAGTATTGAACATGAGACCATAGGCCTAGGCATCAAATCAAGATTCAATCTGGATCAGGCAGGTTTTAGTGAGCAGATGTTCTCTGTAGATGTCCCAACCAGCTGTGACTTCCCCTCTTCAGTAAAAGGTCCTTTGGTCCTCCCCCCAGATCACTTCTACATTTCCCCAGCCTTGTCAGAAGAGCAGGAACCAATGGGGACTGGGAGGGGCATGCTCTTCACACAACCACAAGCCTAGGCACTGGGTCATGTGATCTCTGATAATGAAGAGGTTCAAAGTTCAGACTTGGAGATCCTTTAGCACAGAAGTGGCCATAGACCTAGGCTTCTGGTGACTTCTTGGAGGAGTATTTTCTGTTGCAAAACTGTTTTAGTTTTCTTTGTTCCTCTTTTTTTGTATACCAGCAAGACCATTAATGGAGTTTTATTTTAACCTTTAGCTACAAGTAAGCTCAAAAAGTAGGTTCATCCCAAGATAGTGGAATTGTAAACGCATCTTCATACTGTCAGCTGAACCCCAGAATCTACCTAAATATAAATTAGTAGGTGTCCTGTCCCAGCTATTTAATTTTTTTCTGAGTTGTATTGAACTGCATCAGGTCACTACTGTTGATGTATGCTGACATCTAATGGTGTTTTAGTGCCACTAGAACTTGTTTGCTGTGTCATTTTGGTCTCTCCCCCTGTCCTCATCTCCTGTTTAATGCTAGTTCAGTCCAAGCTGTTCTTCCATGTTGATTCTGCTGTGTTATCTCTGTGCAGAGACAGGGTTTAAAAAACTAATTGTCTTCTTACACTTCAAAAGACTGGAAAAGCATCCTCTGTACAGCAAATTAGCTGAACTTGTGTTGATATCAAGTTCTGTGTGTTTGTGACGGAGCGTAGGCAGGACAGAACACAGAGTAGATGGCAAACGCACAAAGCTTTATTGAGGCAAACAGATGACAGTCACCGAATAGGGGAGTTCGCAGGGAGGGTGAATACACCAGTACAGGGCGACACGGAAAGACCAACACACTTAAAGTCCAACACCGAGAGCCAAGGGAGAGTCTCTGTAGCAAGTAATCCAACAGGGGGTTGGTGTGAGGTCAGCACAAGAACAGTTCAAGTGAAGCAGGCAGAGAGCATGTACTCACGGATCTCTGGTGTCTAGCAGACAGTCTTCCCCAACTCTGGGAGATGGGGGGTCCTAGGCAGCCTTGGGTCTCTGCTGAAGCCTGGCCACAAAAGGTCCCAGCCGCAGCCCGGGCCCCTTCCGTCAGCTACACAGCAGTGAATACCTTGGGAGCTCTGGCATCAGCTTCTTAAAACTGATGTCGGACCCCTAGTCACCTAGGCAACCGGCGGCCCGGAGCTGGCGTGGCTCCAGCTTGTCTTAGGAATGCCTTTCATCTTTGCAGGAGGGATGAGGGGCACGGATGAGAGATGGCAGAGAGAGCAGGGACAGAGTAAGGGGGCTGAGAGGGGAAAGCAGCTGCGACACTCCTCCCCCTTCTATTTCAGAAGTGCCGGCAAGGGGGACACAACCGGGTTCCCTTGAAGGCACTTGTGGGCCCTGACTTAGCTACTGTGGATCTTGTTGGCAGGAAAGGCCGTCTGCATGTTGGTGTTGGCTCCCCGTCTATATCGAATGGTGAAATTATAAGGCTGGAGGGCGAGGCTCCACCTAAGGAGGCGCCCATTGCCCTGGACACCCGGTTCAGCCATGTGAGGGGGTTGTGATCAGTGACGATGGTAAACTCCCGGCCATACAGGTAGGGGTGTAGTTTTTTTAGGGCCCAGACTATGGCCAGACATTCCTTCTCCACTGTAGCATAGGCAACTTCCCGATCCAGTAGTTGGTGGCTGAGGAAAGCGACGGGATGTTCCTCCCCAGCCTTGTTGACTTGGCTGAGGACAGCCCCTAGGACATAGGTGGAGGCATCTGTCTGCACAAGGAAGCATCTGTTGTGGTCAGGGGCGGCCAGGACGGGGTTGCTCGCCAGGGCAGCTTTGAGGTCACAGAAGGCAGATTCACAGGCCAAGGTCCAGGTCACCATCTGGGGACTGTTCTTTTGGGTCAGGTCGGACAGGGGCTGGGCCGTGGATCTGAAATTGGGCACAAATTTACGGTAATAGCCGGCAGTGCCGAGGAAGGCCATCACTTGCTTCTTGGTCTGGGGGGAGGGCCAGTCATAAATGGCCTGAACCCTGGCTGGCTCAGGTTTCAGTGTCTCCCCCCTACTCTGTGCCCGGGGTACTGTACCTCAGCCATTCCCAACTGGCACTTGTCTGGTCTCACTATCAGCCTGGCCCTGCAGATGCGGTCTAGGCTGGCCCCCACGTGGGCCAGGTGCTCCTCCCATGTGTCGCTAAAGATGGCTATGTCATCTAGGTAGGTGCATGTGAACTCTTAACATCCCTCTAGTAGCTGGTCCACGACCTGTTGAAAGGTGGCGGGGGCGTTTTTCATGCCGAAGGGCATGACGAGGAATTCGTACAGGCCGAACGGGGGTAATAAAGGCGGAGCGCACAACGCCCTCTTTTTTGATGGTGATTTGCCAGTAACCCTTGCTGAGGTCTAGGGTGCTAATGTAGCGGGCCCGGCTAGACGGTGCAGCGGGTCATCTATGCGGGGCACGGGGTAGGCGTCACTGACAGTGTAGTCATTCAACCTCCGATAGTCCACGCAAAAGCGGGTGGTCCCATCCTTCTTTGGAACCAGCACCACCGGGGAGGCCCAAGTACTGCGGGAGGGTCGGATGATACCCAGCTGGAGCATCTCGGAGAGTTTGGCTCGGATGGCCGACTTAACAAATTTGTATGGAGCCTGCTGGATGGGTTTCTGACTTTGGGTCTCCACGTGGTGGAGGGCTAACCTGGTGCGGCCCGGGGTGGCCGAGAAGGCGAAGGCCTGGTCCTCTAGCACGGTCCGCATCTGGGCCGTCTGGCAGGGGTTCAGCTGAGCCCCCGTGGGAATCTGATCTAGGGGAATGGTGACCTTGGTGGCTTGCAGGAGATAGGCAGGGCCCCCTCATCTTCTCCACCTGTGGAGGCGGGGCAGATGGCTAGCACAGGTAGAGTCTGGTCGTGGTACTTTTTCAACATGTTGATGTGGACCGTGCGCTTACTTACAGAAAGTGGTGTGTAGTCCACATGTAGGTGTGAAGAAACCACTTCAAGCAGTGCGCTGCTTTTTGCATCTATCCTTCATCCTGGTAATAAATGGGGCATATTCTCATTCAAGAGCCCTAGGAAACAGCTGTTTATATTACAGATGAATGGGCCCCAACCACCTGTGCCGGCATAGGAATGTACTGCATTATATATATGATATTCATTTTTTGTCTCATATAGGCCTAGAGGCATGCTTTCATTTTGACGCATACTGTGTCTGCTGCATTGCATACATGTGATATTTATATCCATAGTATAATTTTTTGAAACTCCTTGTTTGGGATATTACCATTATGGTAGTAGCGTAGTCTACACATTCATAACATGTTATGGTATACCTATGGTATAATTTTTTGTATACACCTCCTTTGGGAAGTGTTCACCTATGCGCCAGTGCTACAAAGACTCTAGACCCTAGTAGTCATTGTCTTTGTTGCACATGTATTCAGACCGGTCTTGGTGTTATTTTATATGGTTTTAGGTCTGTGTGTATTGTCTCATACTGAGGTGATGGTAAACCAGGGCGATTGCCATATGTCAAATTTGTATGTGTAATAAAGCATAATTTTTGGAAATTTTTCTGAGTATCACATTCTGTTCATAATGTAGCCGCTTTCTTTGTGAATCTCTTTTCACAACCCTCTTTGTTTTGCATGCCTTTTTTGGTTACTGAATGGAAACCATTTATTGGGTGATACGGTAACTTATTCTACAACCTCTTAATAACTACCTTTAAACAAGGTGTGGAATGGGGCCTTGGGGTGATCCCCTGGGCGTCCCTTCCTCTGACAGATGTAACAGGTCTGACAGAAGTGGGCTACATCCTGGGTGATACCCAGCCAGTAGAAGGCTTGGGTCAGCCGCAGCCCCCTTCTCCTCTTACCCAGGTGGCCGGCTACTGGAATGTCATGGGCTATCTGGAGTAGCGGGAACCTGAACCGTCTAGGCACTATCAGTTGTTTGGAGCTAGCAGAGGGTTGACCCGGGTGGCTTGGGCCTACCTCGCGGTACAACAGCCCCTACTCCCACCAAAGCTGGTCTCCACCCCCCTCCTGCCGCCCTGCAGCGGCCTGGGTCCTAAACTTAGCCAAGGTGGGGTCTGTGGCTACCTCCCGCTTGAAGATCTCCTGGTCCCAGGTCAGGGGAAGGTCGGGGTCAGGTGGGGGTTCACTCACCGAGTCCATGCTGGGGAAAGGACCTGTGGTGGCTTTGTCTGTAGGAGGACCTCGACCTGTTTGGCTCCAGGTCACCGTACTGGCATCGTAGCTCCCCTAGGTCATTGCCGAGCAGAACATCCACCAGGAGGCCGCCCATGACGCCGATCTGGCACTGTTGCTCCCCGAACCCATAGTCGAGATGTACGGATGCTCTGGGGATATGATGTCTGGCTCCTCCCGCCAGCTCGATAGCGAATCCAGGGCTGGGTTGGATGGCTTCTGGCCGGATCACTCGGGGGTCGGCGATGGTCAAGAAGGCCCCCGTATCCCAAAAACCGGAGGCGGGTTGCCCATCCACTCGCACGACCTGCAGGTGGCGCTGTTTCTGGGTGGGGTATGTAGCCCCCAGGGGGTGGACACTGTAAACCCCCGGAGTGGTTGTCTTCTGGGAAGCTCATCCATTCGCTGGGAGGTGGGGGCATTGGTTCTTCTGCGAGATGGAGCTCGCAGGTAGTGGACCAGGCGGGGGAAGCGGTGGCTTCGGGAGGTGGGGCAGTTGGTTTGGAGCTGCCCCGGCTGGTTGCACCCGTAGCAGTGGCAGTCCATGGGGGGCCCCGTGAACTGGGCTCTGGGTGGCGGTCCTGCGGAGTTGGCAGTGGTAGGTGGGGGGCCCGTTTTGGCAGAGGTGGTGGGGGGCAGGGCCCTTGGCAGTTCAGGGGCCCGCCGTTTCCAATGTGGTTTGATGGCCAGGATCTCGTCGGCCAGGGCAGCGGCCTTTGCAAGGGTGGTAGGGGCTTTCTCTCTTACCCATCCGCGCACCTCCACCAGGCATTGGTTGTAGAATTGCTCCTTCAGAAATGCTTGGATGATTTCTTCTGCGGTGCGGGCCTGTTCCCCCTCTAGCCACCTCCGACAGGACTGCGACATCTTGTGCACATACATCCGATAGGAGGGCTCCGCATGGCAGGGCAGGTCACGGAAGCGCACCCGGTGCACTTCTGGGGTCACCGCGTAATACTCCAACACAGTCTGTTTGACCTGGGCGTAATCCCGGCCATCCATATAATCCAGAGTGCGGTAGGCCGCAGCTGCACCCCCTTCTAGCAGACCCATGAGGTGCCGTATCCAATCCGTGCTTGGCACCTCCATGAGCTGGCACTGCTGCTCAAAGTCCTGAAAGAACCCCTCCACATCCCCAGCGGCTTCGTTGCAGGGTTTAAAGGCCTTGCGGCTGACCCGGGGAGGGGAGTAACCCGCGGCCCTGGGGCTGCAAGGGCCGCTTAGTTCGCGGTGACTCTTCCTTGGCTCTCTCTTTCATGCCTCCTCCGGATAGCCTCTCGCTTGTCCTCTGCCGTGGCGTCTGACCCCAGGAGGGCCATCTCTTCCTCCACCTGAGTAAGCCAGGGGCTCTTGCGCCCTGGGTCATGGCGTGCTGGCAAGGCTGGGGTTGGCCTGCTCTCCTCCCTTGCTAGGACGTCCTGGGGATCAGCTTCCTCAATGGCTGCGACCAGATCCTCTTTGGCTAGGCCCCTCCAGGTAAGGGACAGCTGCTCGGCCCTCTCCTGCAGACATGCCACAGTCCACTTCCTGTATTCGCTGGGCCGGGCCCGTTCCCCCATGCGCTGGCTTTCGCTGTCTGCCATCTCCTCAGTGTCCTGATCCCACCGCTGCCAACCAGTATGTGACGGAGGAAAGGCAGGACAGAACACACAAAGTAGATAGCAAACGCACAAAGCTTTATTGAGGCAAACAGATGACAGTCACCGAATAGGGGAGTTCGCAGGGAGGGTGAATACGCCAGTACAGGGCGATACGGAAGGACCAACACACTTAAAGTCCAACACCGAGAGCCAAGAGAGAGTCTCTGTAGCAAGTAATCCAACAGGGGGTTGGTGTGAGTCTCTGTAGCAAGTAATCCAACAGGGGGGGTTGGTGTGAGGTCAGCACAAGAACAGTTCAAGTGAAGCAGGCAGAGAGCATGTACTCATGGATCTCCGGTGTCTAGCAAACAGTCTTCCCCAGCTCTGGGAGAAGGGGGGTCCTAGGCAGCCTTGGGTCTCTGGCAAGCCTGGCCACGAAAGGTCCCAGCCGCAGTCTGGGCCCCTTCCATCAGCTACACAGCAGTGAATACCTTGGGAGCTCTGGCATCAGCTTCTTAAAAACTGATGTCGGACCCCCTAGTCACATAGGCAACCGGGGGGGGGCCCGGAGCTGGCGTGGCTCCAGCTTGTCTTAGGAATGCCTTTCATCTTTGCAGGAGGGAAGAGGGGCACGGATGAGAGACGGCAGAGAGAGCAGGGACAAAGCAAGGGGGCTGAGAGGGGAAAGCAGCTGCAACAGTGTTATTGAAGAGTTCAGCTGCCTGTGGATGGTGCCAAGTCAGCAAGTAACCATACTGTCCAGACAGACCAAGCCTAAGGAGGTATGTTTATGTTTAAAAACAGCATTTGGAACAGAACAGTAAGTATACATACCTTATGTCAGGGCTCTGTCCTCGGCAGAGGTATTAGGAGATCTGGCACCCCTTCCAGTACCTTGCATGGCCGCAGAAGTTCACATCGGCTCAAATTTGGCTCCAACGGCCTTTATAAGGGAGCCCTGCCCTACTCTCAGGTGCTGGTTGATCTCTGGCTTCCCAGTACCTTGTTCCTGTGCTATTGTGACCTGTGACTTCCTGATACCGACTCGGCTTGCTCTTGGACCTGTCTTCTCTGCTTAACCCCTGATCTGTCCTGGGCTTGGCTAATGGATATTCCCTCTTTGCACCTCTGTGCATGACCTCGGCTATACCATCTGACTACGTCTGCTCTGATTTCCACCTGGTACCTGACCTCGGTTTTGAAAAGGCTATCATGTGATCCTGTTTCCCAGAAAGCTTGCATACCTCGCAGACACCACGGGGTTTATTTACTAAAGCTGGAGAGTGCAAAATCAGACTCACTTCTGCATAGAAACCAATCAGCTTCCAGGTTTCATTGCCAAAGCTTCATTGAACAAGCTGAGGTTAGAAGCTGATTGGTTTCTATGCAGAAGGGAGTCTGATTTTGGACTCTCCAGCTTTAGTACATAAACCCCCACCTGTCTGCAGATCCCATCTCAGTGCATCAGCTGTGCTACTGGGTGGACCACCAACGAGCACTCCTACAGGCAACCTGTGCCACTTTGGGCCTGACTTCTGCTGTCCCACTCTCAGGGGATTCTGGAACTTAGCCGCAAGGGAAGCCCTCTCTCCATTGGCCTTTAACACCAGGTACGTGATATTATGCAGGCCATACATGGGTCGAATTCCCAACAAATTTTCTTTAGAAAATTGGAAAATTTGTGCGTTTTGTAATGCGACGGTGCCACCACTGATTTCGAAATTCCACCAACCTAGCCTTCAATTTCACATGTTGCTACAGAAAAGAATTTTCATGGAAAAGAATTTTCTTTTATTTCCAAGTCAAAGCTTTATATTTCTTGCACGATTCTCCCATCATTGATTCGAAATTTGTTCGTTTTTCAAAAAATTTCCAACATGCCCATTAACATTTCTACCAAACCTTTCTCAAGGGTCATAAGAGTTTAGTACAAATAGTGGGAATCCCTGGCTGTTTGCTTTCATATTTTGATTTCTAATGATTGACTAATTGGGTTTGGATTCAGCAAGATCAAACAACCCGCCCTGAACCAGATCTAGGTATGTTCATCTCATTACTGTGCATACATCATGTCTGGGTACATAAGTTGTGTCTGCAGTGCTGAGAAGAGGGGTTATCTGGGAGAAAACAAGATCTAATGTGCAGAACGGGTATCAATACAAGGCGGTGACTATTATCAACCTATGACATCACTCATCTCCCACCCTACTCTGGACCAATCAGTGTGCAGGTACAGAGCAGAGATAACAGAAGAATATATTGTGGCTCACCTGTGCTGATCTCTGTAGGAGTGTCCTCCTCTTTGATTGTCCTCATCATTACAGCCTCCTCCGTATATTGCTGATCATCCCTCACATACGTCTCTTCTACTTCACCCTCAACTTTCATCTTCATCAGATCTTCACCCTAAACCAACAGAATGGCAGAAATAACATCTGTAATATAGAAGGATTTATGATGTGAGATCACATAGAAAATATCATCTTGTAGAGTCCACACATCGTCTCCACATGTCAGAGTGTTCCATCACTTTATGTTCCAGACCCTCAACTCCACCGACCTGATGATGGTGAGGAATGGTGTGACCTTCCTGTGTAGAATCCCAGGAATACAGAGGATGGTGACATCTCTCTGGTGGGTTCCCATTACTGGATCCATCTACCTGAAGATGGTGAAGGATGGTGTGACCTTCCTGTGTGGAATCCCGGGAATACAGAGGACGGGGGACATCTCTCTGGTGGGTTCCCATGACTGGATCCATCTGTAGGAAACACACACACTGACTGAATCCACTGTTTCTATGTGTTTATCAGATGATGGGGGATCTAGGTGGATCCTCCGTACTGCTCTCTCCTTTACAATAAAGTCTCCTCTTACCCGGTGATGTGAGGGGCGGCTGATTGTCCATCATGACGTCCTTGTAGAGATCCTTGTGTCCTTCTAAATACTCCCACTCCTCCATGGAGAAATAGACAGTGACATCCTGACACCTTATAGGAACCTGACACACACAATGATACAGTCACCATCCAGACACATCCCTTGTCTGTTACTGGAGAATGTCCCAGAATTCCCAGCACCGCTCACCTCTCCTGTCAGCAGATCCATCATCTTCTTGGTGACTTCTAGAATTTTCTTTTCGATATTTATCTCAGGTATCAGGGAGTCACATGGAGGCACTGTGATGGTTATATGATCTCCAGACTTCACAGGAGGAAAACTCTGTATTCAACAAAAACAGTAATATCATGTCACATTCCCAGAATCCTCACCTCTCCGGTCAGGTCTGTGTTTTATTAATAGAGATGAGAGTGATGTCATGTGACCTCCCAGAATCCTCCTCACCTCTCCGGTCAGGTCTGTGTTTTATTAATGATGATAAGAGTGATGTCATTTGATCTCCCAGAATCCTCCTCACCTCTCCAGTCAGGTCTGTGTTTTATTAATGATGATAAGAATGATGTCATGTGACCTCCCAGAATCCTCCTCACCTCTCCGGTCAGCAGGCAGATGATCTCCAGGGTGAAGTTTAGTATCTTCTCAGTCACGTGAGTCTGGTCCTCCTCCATCCTCATTGGTTTGGTCATGTGAGCTCTGTGGGTTTCTGGAACATAAATGTAAGAGTAGAATTATGTTATCAGTAGTTGAGATGTGGTGGGATCAGTAGAAATATGTAATTGTAGATCTAGTTTAATTCCATGTTATTAAAGATAAGTATTCAGTATTTAGTCGTAGACATATGTTCACCAATTAGCATCTGAAAGGACAGAGCAAGCTTCCCCAAAAGGGTGTGCCAATTGCTAGACTGCTCACTGTGCGACTCCTTAGTGTTACAAGGTCTCAGCTGTGAATGGGGAACAGGTGGGTTAAATTTGGTGTTATTGCTCTCACTCTCTCATATTGGTCACTGGAAGTTCAACATGGCACCTCATGGCAAAGAACTCTCGGAAGATCTGAAAAAAAGAATTGTTGCTCTACATAAAGATGGCCTAGGCTATAAGAAGATTGCCAAGACCCTAAAACTGAGCTGCAGCACGGTGGCCAAGACCATACAGAGGTTTAACAGGAAAGATTCCACTCAGAACAGGCCTCGCCATGGATGACCAAAGAAGCTGAGTTCACGTGCTCAGCGTCATATCCAGAGGTTGTCTTTGGGAAATAGACGTATGAGTGCTGCCAGCATTGCTGCAGAGGTTGGAGGGGTGGGGGGGTCAGCCTGTCAGTGCCCAGACCATACGCCGCACACTGCATCAAATTGGTCTGCATGGCTGTCGTCCCAGAAGGAAGCCTCTTCTAAAGATGATGCACAAGAAAGCCTGCAAACAGTTTGCTGAAGACAGGCAGACTAAGGACATGGATTACTGGAACCATGTCCTGTGGTCTGATGACACCAAGATCAACTGATTTGGTTCAGATGGTGTCAAGCGTGTGTGGCGGCAACCAGGTGAGGAATACAAAGACAAGTGTGTCTTGCCTACAGTCAAGCATGGTGGTGGGAGTGTCATGGTCTGGGGCTGCATGAGTGCTGCCGGCACTGAGGAGCTACAGTTCATTGAGGGAACCATGAATGCCAACATGTACTGTGTGACGGGAGTTACTTTGGGTGGGGGGGCCCAAGGAACCCAGCTCACTTTGGAGAGGTGTTAAGTCACCCTGTGCCTGTTAGGGGTACAGGGTGATCTGTCCTAATATTGTGTAGACATGTTAAGGAAATAGGTGGTGTCACGGCCCGCGGTCGCCGCCACCAACAGGCGACAATCACACGCGCCGCGACTAATAGTAATACGTCATGCCCACGCCGTCAGACCCCAGACCTTCTCACCAAACTCGTGACCGAAGGACCGGCCGATCTAAAACCGCGGTGTGACGCGCGTAACAAGGCCACACTCAGCTGCACCCAGCACAGCGATTGCCCAGCTAATGGTCTACAATCGGTGCCTGCAGCCTGAATGCGCTTGTTACTGGGTCGGGTTAATTACGCAACTAACCCTCTACTGCCACCACCACTTTTGTCGGAGACTGGGAAACTCCCGTTATCAAATATACACTATAATGATTGAAATATTGATCTATATAGCACGGCCCGCGGACCTGCTATACAGAGATATAACAAACAGTAGCGTCTCTTCAAAAGGCAGGAATTTGTGAATTGCAAGTAAGCGCCTAGAAACAGTTTAACACTTTCAGAAAGAAAGATTTATTACTAAAAGCGTCAGACAGATGCAATAAAATATTTACAAAGAGATGTCACAAAAATATATATATATGTATATAAAGACACAGCAAAGAGATAATTAGGAAGAAGATTACAGGGTTAAGTTACTTGCCCATATGCCTGGGTTTGCAAATCCAAGATGCAGAGCAGAAAGGTTAGTCTCCTTTTGTTACGATGTTCAGCTAAAGAGATCTGTATGTTCTACTCACAGGCTTGTCTTTTCTTTAAAAGTCCCTCTCAAAGGGGAGGGGGGGCTCTGACTACATGTTTTGGGAGTGGTCATTGGGAAACTAAATTAACTACCAGATTCATATCCCATGATATGAACCATACAGTTTGACCTGAGGAATGTGCAATTACTCTGGTCAGTTTGATAATGAGTGGGCTTACATAGTTTTGGGTGACAAAAGTTACACCTCAGCAGAAGGCCTGGCTCCAATCTCAGATGTCTTAGCCTGGTTGTCCCACACCATCTGTCAGGAGATAAGTTTGCCTCTCAGGAAGGGAGGAGGGTAGGAATGAGGCTGGGGAATGCCTCAAATAAACAGACAGAACACGAAAAAGAGAGTTGAAGGGGAACTCCGCTCCACTTCTGATGAGCAAGTTTGCCACAGGTGGGGGTTGCAATTGTTATTTGGCTGCATCCCATTGTTCTATTGGTTATCTAATAGCAAACTATTATGGGATGTATGTGTTTATGTGTATTAGCTTAGTGGGGGGCTGTCTCCAGCAGCCCTCCCTGCTGATGGGACTGTCTGCTGGTGTGAAGTTTGAATACCTGTGTGTCTCTTGTTACTAAATGTAGATTGCCCCGCCCTGTGTCATTATGCAGTCTACAGTCCCATCAGGAGGGAAGGGCTGCTGGAGACACCCCCCCACTAAGCTAATACACATACATCCCAAAATAGTTTGCTCCTAAGCCAGACAAACAATAGAACAAAGGGATGCAGCCACCTTACATTAAACAACCAACAACTCCCACACAATATTGGGACAGATCACCCTGTACCCCTAACAGGCACAGGGTGATTACACATAAGAGGGATATGGGGAGCTGAGACAGGTCTCCCCACCTCTTCAAAGTTAGCTGGGTTCCATGGGCCCCCCCACCCAAAGTGACTCCTGTCACATATCTGCCCCTTCACTGGCATTAGTGGGAGAAAAAATGGTGCCGCTTAATTGGTATTGGTTGGAAAAATAATGCCCCATCATTCTGTCAGTGGGATGAATAGTGCCCCATCATTGGTGACAGTGGGATGAAAAGTGCCCCATCATTGGTGACAGTGGGATGAAAAGTGCCCCATCATTGGTGACAGTGGGATGAAAAGTGCCCCATCATTGGTATCAGTGGGAGGAATAGTGCCCCGTCATTGGTATCAGTGGGAGGAATAGTGCCCCATCATTGATATCAGTGGGAGGAATAGTGTCCCATCATTGGTATCAGTGGGAGGAATAGTGCCCCATCATTGGTATCAGTGGGAGGAATAGTGCCCCATCATTGGTATCAGTGGGAGGAATAGTGCCCCATCATTGGTATCAGTGGGAGGAATAGTGCCCCATCATTGGTATCAGTGGAGGAATAGTGCCCCATCATTGGTATCAGTGGAGGAATAGTGCCCCATCATTGGTATCAGTGGGAGGAATAGTGCCCCATCATTGGTATCAGTGAGAGGAATAGTGCCCCATCATGGTATCAGTAGAAGGAATAGTGCCTCATCACTAATATCAGTGGGAGAAATGGTGCCGCTTAATTGGTATTGGTTGGAAGAATAATGCCCCATCATTGTGTCAGTGGGGATGAATAGTGTTCCATCATTGGTATTAGTTTTAGAAAAAGTGCCTAACTGTTTATATCAGTGGGAGGATTGTGCCCCATCATTGGTGTCAGTGGAAGGAAAAATGCCCCATTGTTGGTTGGTGTGAGAGGAATGGTTCCCCACCATTGGTGCCAGTGTAAGAAATGGTGCCTCCTTGTTGGTCAGGGGGAGGAAAAGAACCCCGAGAGCCAAATAGAGGCATGCTAAGGGCCGCCATTTGGAGATAAATAGTGGAGGCCACGGACAATTTGCTTCGTTTGTCATAATTTTTTTCTGTAATATGTGAATATAATGAAAGTTTTTGTTTTTGAGTCGATTGTCAACAGAGCAGCTAATAATGCAATTTCCCCATCACTCCATTCACTATTTATTGATGTTACATAGTTACTGAGGTTGAAAAAAAGACACTGGTCCAGCTAGTTCAACCAACAAGAACAAGATATTGAAAACCCCCATATACACAATCCTATACCCACAGTTGATTCAGAGGAAGGCAAAAAATTCCAATAAAGCATGATCCAATGCATACAATTCCAATAAAGCACGATCCAAAGCATAAAAGTCCAATAAAGCACGATCCAAAGCATAGAATTCTAATAAAGCATGATCCAAAGCATAGAATCCTAATAAAGCATGATCCAAAGCATAGAATTCCAATAAAGCATGATCCAATGCATAAAATTCCAATAAAGAATGATCCAATGCATGCAATTAAAATAAAGCACGATTCAATGCATAAAATTCTAATAAAGCACGATCCAATGCATAACATTCTAATAAAGCGATCCAATGCATAAAGCAATTCTAATAAAGCACGATCCAATGCATAAATTCTAATAAAGCATGATCCAATGCATAAACATTCTAATAAAGCACGATCCAATGCATACAATTCCAATAAAGCACGATCCAATGCATACAATTCCAATTAAAGCACGATCCAATGCATACAAATTCCAATAAAGCATGATCCAATGCATTACAATTCCAATAAAGCATGATCCAATGCATACAATTCTAATAAAGCACGATCCAAAGCATAGAATTCTAATAAAGCACGATCCAATGCATAAAATTCCAATAAAGAATGATCCAATGCATGCAATTAAAATAAAGTATGATTCAATGCATAAAATTCTAATAAAGCACGATCCAATGCATAAATTCTAAATAAAGCACGATCCAATGCATAACATTCCAATAAAGCACGATCCAATGCATACAATTCTAATAAAAGCACGATCCAATGCATACAATTCCAATAAAGCACGATCCAATGCATACAATTCCAATAAAGCACCATCCAATGCATACAATTCCAATAAAGCACGATCCAATGCATACAATTCCAATAAAGCACCATCCAATGCATACAATTCTAATAAAGCACGATCCAATGCATACAATTCCAATAAAGCACCATCCAATGCATACAATTCCAATAAAGCACGATCCAATGCATACAATTCCAATAAAGCACGATCCCAATGCATACAATTCCAATAAAGCACGATCCAATGCATACAATTCCAATAAAGCACGATCCAATGCATACAATTCCAATAAAGCACGA